AAACGCAAGCTTCGTCAGTTCAAAATAAAACACGACAGGCGCACCTACAGGCAAGTCCTTGACTTACGACCACAATCGAGCCCGACGTTTCCGTCGCTAAGCAGGACAGTTGTTAGTTTTGTCCCATTTTACGACCATCCTGGCCACGATCGATAAGTGAATCAACTGCAGTTGTTACGTCAGCAACACGGTTGTTAAGTGAAGCTAGCTTTGCTTGTCAGAAGGTCGCAAAAGGTCATCACATGACCCTGGGACGCTGCAACCGTCATAACTATGAGCCAATTGCCAGGCATCTGAATAATAATAATAATAATAATAATAATAATAATAATAATAATAATAATAATAATAGTAAAGTTGGAAGGGACCTTGAAGGTCATCTAGTCCAACCCCCTGCTCAGGCAGGAAACCCTATACCATTTTGGACAAATGGCTGTCCAGAATTATGATCATGTGACTGTAACGGTTGTGTTAAAAACAGTCAAGAGATCACTTTTTTTTTTTACCATTGTTGTAACTTAAAACGGTCACTAAATGAATGGTTTAAGTCCAGGACTACCTGTATACACAATATTGCCCGCCCTCCCTTTCTCTCCATCACCCGAAAGTGTGTGGTGCTGAATTGGTGTAGGGAGATTCAGGTCCTAGTTCCCCCACCCACCACAGAAGCTCTCTGGGGCACTGAGCCAGTCTCTCCCTCTCAATCCAACCTACCTCACAGGGTTGTTGTGGGTGGGGGGAATAGAAAGGAGGGTACAAAGAATATTAATGAAAGACGGGGTGTAAATCAGAAGCAACCTAGAATTAAGGAGAAACCTCCCAACAGCGAGAACAATTAGCCAGTGGAACAGCTTTGCCTTCAGAGGTTGTGGGTGCTTCAACACTGGAGGATTTTAAGAAGAGACTGTCTGAAATGGGTTTAGGACAGTGTTTCTCAACCTTGACCATTTTAAGGCATGTGGACTTCAACTCCCAGAATTCCACAGCCAGCATTGCTGGCTGTGGAATTCTGGGAGTTGAAGTCCACATGCCTTAAAATGGTCAAGGTTGAGAAACACTGGTTTAGGATCTCCTGCTTGAGCAGGGGGCTGGACTAGACGACCTCCAAGGTCCCTTCCAGCTCTATTCTGACTGGGGGGAAAAAATGGAATCCGGTCCACAAAGGAGGGCTTAAAACTCACAGAAAACATTCCCTTATGGAGAGGATATTAGTGGCTCGTGAAAGAGCTTTCAAACACACCCTCCTTAATCGGGGCTCCTTCTGTTCCACGCGTTCCCGCCCAGTTCGTGCCCAAGCAAAAGCCCACTAACAAGTTTCGGGTGGGGGGGATCCTCGACCTTTGCAACAGGGCGGAGCAGCTTTAGAGAAAATTAAAGCCAAAGCATTCCTCCTTCCCCCTCCGAGCCCAAAACGGGGGGGGGGCGCTGCGTGGACTTGGCGGCCGAGAAAGCCCACCGATCACGCCACGCGCGTTTTTTTTTCTCTCTCTCTCTCTCTCTGCCCGCGAGTTGCGCTCGGAGCGCGCCTTCCTTGCTCGGCGCACCAAAGCCCGGCGATCGTCCGCCTTCCCCTCTTCCCACGGCCGGTGCCGGACCCCCGGCTCGGTGGGACAGGAAAGTGCAGCGATCCCGGAGCTCCCCCCACCCGCCGTTCGCTCCACGTTTCCTGTCTCTCTAAGCGCCGGAGCTCGCTGGCCGGCCCGTTTAACCATTGCAGCGCCGGGCGGGAAGATGCGCGGCAGCTCTCGGGAGCCTTTGAGCGTCCTTTTCCTTTCGCGCGAAGGCGGGGGGGGGGCGGAGGAAGCGAAAGGCTGTGTGTGTGTGTGTCTGTGTGTTTGTGTGTGCGTCTGTGTGTTTGTATAAAGCAGGGGTCCTCAACCTTGGCAACTTTAAGACTTGTGGACTTCAATTCCCAGAATTCCTCAGCCAGCTTTGCTGGCTGAGGAATTCTGGGAGTTGAAGTCCACAAGTCTTAAAGTTGCCAAGGTTGAGGACCCCTGGACTATAAAGGCAACAGTGTGCCCCCCACCTCCTCCCCACAGACCCATCTTTGGGTATTTTTTTTAAATAAAATTTTTATTGATTTTTGTAATTAAACAACAAATAATATGATGCATTTACGTACATAAACAGAAAAAAAAATAATCCAAGTCAATACATTTTCAGCTAGCAGGACTGGCCTAGGGGAAATTTTTAGCTGGGTTTTAAAATATTTTTAATTAATATAGGCCAATATTAATATCTTCTTTTAATTATGTTTTTAACTATAGTTACTTTGGTATTTTTGTATCTGTTTTATCAGGCTGTTAGCCGCCCTGAGTCCGCAAGGAGAAGGGTGGGATATAAATACAATAAAACTCAAACTCAAACTTTCAGAGACGTTCGGCAGTCCCCGCCTTGCCTCCGACCTCATCGACTTTCCTATCCTTCCTCCCTCTGACCCACAGCCTCTCCACCTTCCTCCTTACCACCTACCTACATCCCCTCTCCTTCCTAACCACCTCCTCGAGTGCAATTTGGGACACCAGCTGAGCGTCTCCCCATCTTTGGGTATTTTGAACTCACTCCCAGCTCTTCGAAGCGCTTGGAGCCTCACTTTTAAATCAGTGTTTTTCCAACCTGGCAATTTCTAAGACCTCCGGACTCTTCAACTCAAGTTGAGGCTGACGTCCACACACATCTTAATGTTGGCAAGGTTGAGAAATGCAGGCAGTCCTCGGCTTACGACCACAGTTGAGCCCAAGAATTTATGTGGCTAAGGGCGAAATTTGTTAAGCGAGTTTTGCCCCATTTTACGACTTTTATTTTTTGCCACGTTTGTTAAGTAAATCGCTGTGGTTATTAAATTAGTAACCCGGTTGTTAAAATCTGTTTCCCAGATTAATTTTAAACCTTTTGCCTGATCTTCAGTTCAGTTAATATTCTGTATATTTTCCCAATTCTTCCTTAACCTATATATTCATTTTCCTCACTTTCTTTTATAATCATTTCAAATTTTGTTAACTGTCTATCTTTTACCTCAAATTTTTCTTCCACTTGTATCCATTTCTCTAATTGTATTAAATTCAACCAATTTAATTTAGTATCTGATAACACATTAATTGTATTATATTCTTTATCTTGTTCTTCCAGTCTTCCCATTTATATATCTGATATTTTTTTTAATTTACTAATCCAATCTTTCAATTCAATCTTAGGAAATTTCTCCATTTCTACCACTGTTGTTAAAGGAGAAATTCCTGGCATTAACCAGTATGTCCATTTATTCCATAATTCTATCGAGTTTTTTAAAAAGGGATTTTTAATTCTCTTAACAATTTTTTAAATGGTTCATATCATAAAGCTTTGCTTATTTTTGCTCTCTTGCCTCCATTGCAATACACCTCCAGCAATCTTTGTATTTCCTTTAATTCTTGATCCAAAAACTTAATTGGGATCATCCAAAACAAATAATTTTTGATAAAACATAGCTGCTTTCTAACACCTACATGAAACCACTAAGGGAGGCCACCCATCCTATGATACCCCATTATGTATAGGTAGTCCTGGACATATATCGTTTTATTTAAAGACCATTTGAAGTTACAAAAGTGCTAAAATAGTGACTTATGACCATTTTTCACACTTACAACCATTACAGCATCCCCCTTGTCACGTGATCAAAATTATGACGTTTGGCAATTGACTCATATTTGTGAGTTTCAGTGTCCTGGGGTCATGTGATCTCCTTGGAGATCCTCCTGGACTCACGGCTCCTGCTTGAGATCATAGTTGGGGCTTTGCAGAGATTTATCTGGTGCGCCAACTGCGTCCTTTCCTAGACCAGGGAGGCCTTGCACAGGGCTCAATCATGCCTTGGTCACCTCCAGTTTGGATCACTGCCCTGGACCCCCCGGAAATTCTAACTGGTCCAGAATGCCCCAACACACAAAGTAATGAGGGCCCCTAGGTTGCCCATATCACATCTTTGTGGTGCGAGCTGCCACAGGCTTTGTTTCTTTACAGGTGTAATGGAGGATGCTGCTCATCACATTTAAAGCTATTTCTTTATTATAGCAGTTGCACTTGGAATTAATACACCACCCCACTGTGCTTTATAGCACTCTCGGGTTACAGTGTCAGCATATTCTCCCCAACAATCTGGCTTCTCATTTTACCGATCTCAGAAGGATGGAGGGCTGAGTTAACTTCGAGCCCCCTCAGGATCGAATTCCAGGCTGTGGGCAGAGTCAGCCAGCAATACTGCATTCTCACCACTGAGCCAACAGGACACCTGTCAGTAATGTTCCACTTTATTATTTCTGCATCTATCTGTTCTACCAGGTCAGATAGGGTGGGCATGCACCTAGCCCCTTCCCTTAACTATGGCCATCTGATAGGAGCTAGGAAGTGAGCCTTTTCCGCGGCAGATCCTGCCCTATGAGACACTCTTTCCCCTGAAGTATGGCAGGCCATTATCCTCCTAGTCTTCGTTAAAGCAAGGAAGATCTAATCCTGTTGTTAACTTCTCCAATTTAGCTCTTTGCAAGGAGAAAGATGACCACTTTTGAACAAGAATGCCACAAGGAAGGCCATAATAGGGCCAAGCGGCCTGGTTAATTTGGCATATATATTTTCTTAACAAATATATTTATGTGTAGAAATAGCTCAAGGCAGCAAACACACTTGATACAGATGCAAGCTCGCTTTCACTGTCCCAGCACAGCAGTCCCCCTTGACTCTGTGGAAGGGAAGGACCACACTGGGCCAGAGAAAGGAAGCTCAGATCTTCTCCCTCATGTTTGATACTAAAACACATCTGACTAAAAAGAATATGGCAAGAAATTAAAAGTTTAGTTTCTCAGCTGGGCTTCCAATTAGAGAAGAGAAATGAAATTCAACATTCCTCTACACACATCAAATTTTGCCTGTGTGATTTCTTGTGTCTGAAAAAGGCAGTATAATTTGTGAAACATTTTCCACAATCTGGGCATTTGAATGGTTTCTCTCCTGTGTGTAACCTTACATGATTCATAAGGCTGGTCCTACTACTGAGATCTTTCCCACAATCCGGACACTCATACGGCTTCTCTCCTGTGTGAGTCCTCTGGTGTATCACCAGCTCAGCATTCCATCTGAAATTTTTCCCACAATCTATACACTCATGCGGTTTCTCTCCCGTGTGATTCCTCTGGTGTATTACCAGGTAGGAATTCTGACTGAAACATTTCCCACAATCACGACATTTATATGATTTCTCTTCTATGTGAGTAGACTGATGTTTCACCATGTTATATTTCTGAGAGAAGCCCTTTCCACAATCTGGGCATTCATATGGTTTCTCTCCTGTGTGAGTTTTCTGGTGTCTAAACAGGTAGGAATTACAAGTGAAACCTCTTCCACACTCTGGGCACTCATACGGTTTCTCTCCTTTGTGAGTCATCTGATGATTAACCAGGTGGGAACTCTGACGGAAACCTTTCCCACAATCTGGACACTCAAATGGTTTCTCTCCTGTGTGAGTCCTCTGATGTCTAATCAGGTTGGCATTCCGAATGAAACTTTTCCCACAATCTGGACACTTATATGGTTTCTCTCCTGTGTGAGTCCTCTGATGATTAACCAGGTGGGAATTTCGAATGAAATTTTTCCCACAATCAGGACATTCATATAGTTTTTCTCCTCTGTGTATCCTCTGGTGTCCCACCAGGTAGGAATTCTGACTGAAACTTTTCCCACAATCCAGACACTTGAATGGTTTTTCTCCTGTGTGAGTTCTCTCATGTAAGACCAGATTGGAATTCTCACTGAATCTTTTTCCACAATGCAGACACTCATATGGTTTCTCTCCTGTGTGAGTTTTCTGGTGTCTAACCAGGTAGGAATTAAGCCTGAAACTTTTCCCACAATACAGACATTCATATGGTTTCTCTCCTGTGTGAGTCCCCTGGTGTCTAACCAGGCAGGAATTCCGAATGAAACTTTTCCCACAATCTGGACACTTATATGGTTTCTCTCCTGCGTGAGTCCTCTGATGTCTAACCAGGCTGGAATTTCGAAAGAATTTTTTCCCACAATCTGAACATTCATATGGGTTTTCTCCTGTGTGTATCCTCTGGTGTCCCACCAGGTAGGAATTTTGACTGAAACTTTCCCCACAATCCAGACACTTGAACGGTTTTTCTCCTGTATGAGTTCTCTCATGTATCACCAGGTTGGAATTCTCACTGAATCTTTTTCCACAACGCAGACACTCATATGGTTTCTCTCCTGTGTGAGTTTTCTGGTGTCTCACCAGTTTTGAATTCCCAGTGAAACTTTTCCCACAATCCAGACACTTATATGATTTCTCTGTTTGAGTCCTCTGGTGTATCACCAGGTTGGAATTATGACTGAAACTTTTCCCACAATACAGACATTCATATGATTTCTCTCCTGTGTGAGTCCTCTGGTGCTTTATCAGGCTGGAATTCTGACTGAGACTTTTCCCACAAAAAGGACATTCAAAGAGTTTCTCCCCATTGTGAGTCCTCATGTGTATGACGAGATGGGAACTCTGACTGAAACTTTTCCCACAATCCAAACATTGATATGGTTTATCTCCCGTGTGAGTTCTCCTGTGTATGTCAAGATGGCAATTCTGACTGAAACTTTTTCCACAATCCAAACATTGATATGGTTTATCTCCCGTGTGAGTCCACTGGTGCTTTACCAGGTTGGAATTCTGACTGAAACTTTTCCCACAAACAGGACATTCAAAGCGTTTCTCCCTAGTGTGAGTCCTCTTGTGTCTCACCAGATTGGTGTGCTTGCTAAATCTTTTTCCACACTGGGAGCACTGGTGGAGCTGCTCCTCCTGCATTGGTCCTTCCATGAATAATTGGAGTGCTGTTCTGAGTAAAGCTTTTGCCACTGTCCAAACATTTGCATGGGTTTTCAAGGGGTGGATGGACTCATGCAAAAAAAAGGTGTGATCTGCAATCCGTGTTTTTCCCAAAATAGGCAGTTGGTGGGATTTTTCCAACACTGATATTCTTGGATTCATGAGGAAGCCAAAAATATTTCTGATCCCTTGTCTGCCGGTGCTTTGATCCAAGACACTTTCCTTCCTTAAACGCTTTCATTAATGCCTTGTACTTTTTCATGCAATATTTTCTTGAGTTCCACATAATCTATTTTTTCTACCTGAAATCTCTGTTCCTGTTATTCTCTCCTTTGTCTCCCTCCATCTGTTAAGGAAATAGAAAGTTTTTAACACTTTCTGGAGGAAATGGAAAAGATTTTGATTGATGGTTTGTTTTGTATTTTAATGCAGCTTCTCATTCTCTGTTGTCCAGAGTGCTCTTCTTGGCATCCTCTCTGACTATAAGATTCATATTAATGGATTAGTTTCATTATTGTTTAAAAAATGGCTGCTGAACCTGTGAAAACAGCAAAAAAAATCCATCTATTACTATGAAAAAGCAAACATATCAAAATGCTAATTTAACCTCTAAGATTCATTATGATTCATCAGGCACAGAGGAGACTAGCAAAATCAAACTTCAAGTATCCACTCATATTTCAAATCAATGGAATTCTCTTCTTGGCTTGGGTAAATTATTATCATTGCAAATAGTTGTTACAATGAAAATACTTAGGTCTATACATATACATATATATGCATACATAAATACACACCTATAAATTTATATATGTGAAAAATCTATACGTATTTCGGACTTTCAAAATGTTTCAGAAGTGGATTCACTTAATTTGTTTGATCTAATTTTAGAAAGCTGGGGACACTAACAGATGAAACGGTGCCCAAAGCCTATGCGAGATTTAAAGCACCCCTTTTACCCCCGAAAGTCCTCACTTGCCAGGAAAACATGTCAACAATATCACAAGGAATGAAGACCGAGGGAGGAAGGCTGTTAAAAAATATGAAATAATTTTTTTTTAACTGTCCCATTTTTTCCATCTCCCAGCAGAAAATCACAGGCAGCAGTTTTAAATCATGCAGCGTAAGGATAAGAACATTTGGGGAGAGAAAGAATATGCAGCAGCAGCAGCCGACACGTTTCAGCCTCGTCCCTTCGCTGCTTCCACACCGCGGAGGAAAAGAAACAGCCCGACTTCTCCTCCGACCTGCCCTCCACTCACCTCCCAGGAGCCGCTTCCACCATCGAGACAGAGGAAGAGCATGCACCGACGCCATTCTCCTCCCATAAGTGAACCGGAAAAGGACGTTCTTCTGCCCTTTCCCCAAAGTCCTCTCTAGCAATCCAATCCTCTATCGTTTCAATTTGTTCCAGCTCAGCCTCTCTCCCTCCCGTATGACGTTGGCACCAGCGATGCGGCTGCTGTGTACAGAACTGTATTCTCTGCTTTCTAGGTACGAGTGTTGCTTCTCTGTAGAGCGCCATCTAGCGACATAAGGTTGAAAATCACGCTGGTCCTATCTCTTCCCTAAAGCGTTTGCAAGGCGTTTTCATGGATTCCCTGGTTCTTTAGGGGCCATCAAGTCGTGTTCGACTCCCACCGAGCACATCGATAGCTTTTGTCCAGGACAATCTACCCTAAGCCTTTTCTTTCAGGTCTCCCAAGAGAGCAGTCATCGTCCCTCTTCCTCCAACTAAATCAAAGGAAAGTGTCCTGGGGGGGGGGGAATTATATATAACAGCCAAGGAGAAAGTGCATCTCCTTTGAGGGCTGGTGAAGATTGTTCCAGCCAGTTTTTCATCTTGCGGGTTGGGGGTGCAGGATAACTCCCTGAAACCTGCCTCTGCAACTTAGACAGAGGTGTCACATTATGCAGCTGCTTGGGTGGGACCAGAAGGTAATCTGATGCAGATGTCCAAATGGGAACCCTTGGATAATCTTCCTCCATATCCTGGCCCAGAAGAGGAGGAAGATGACATTGTACCTTTAGGGTCCAAAGTTAGGCCATCTGCACCAGAAGACCTGCCAAAAGAAAACCAATAAATTAGTCAAAAATAACCAGGAATTAGAGGAGGAGATGAAAAAGAACATGGCAGAAGGCTTTTGCCCTATGGTCACAAGACAGCAGAAAATGGGACAAGTCTTTATAGCACCTTTTAGACAGGTGCCTATAGGAGAAGGCAATCTGGGTTATGTGGAGGCCCCTCTAACGACCTTTGAAATCAGACAGTTCAAGAAGGAACTGCCTAAATTAGTAGAAAACCCAATAGAAGTAGGAAAACAGATTGAAATGTTTTTAGGACCTATGGAATATTCATGGAGAGAAATGCAATCTATATTTAATATGTTATTTACACCAGAAGAGAATGGGATGATTAGAGCAGCTAAGGAACAATGTAAGAAAAAGTTTCCACAAAAGAATGAACAGAATGAAATCCCTGATGCAGATCCAAAGTGGGAAGGTAACATGAATGCAGAGAGGAAAGCTATGGCTGATTATAGGGGATATTTAATAGAAGGTATTAAAAATGCAGCGCCGCAGAGTCTTAACATTCAGAAGGCACTGTCATTAGAACAAGGAAAGGAGGAAACACCAACTGAATGGTTAGAAAGATTAAAAAGCCAACTTCAAAAGTATGGATATTTGCATCCTGGTAATCCAGGACATCACATGATTTTGAAATATCAATTTGTAGGGAAAGCATGGGAAGATATTAGGGTAAAATTGCACAAATTACACACATGGGAAACTAAAACAATAGATGATTTATTAAAAGAGGCTCAGAAAGTTTATGCAAAGAGAAGAGAGAGATAAACGTAAGATAAAAATGATGGCTCAATTGGTGCAAGCAGGCCAGCAAAGAGGACGGGGATGGGGGAATAATCAGGAAACCAATAAGGGGTCTTGGGAGAGGTCTAGGCCGAGGGCGAGGACAGCCATTTGGTACCAGGGGATACAAACCCCTAAAAGAAAATTCCTCTGGACCCAGATTAGGGAAAAATCAATGTGCCTTCTGTAAGGAGGAAGGGCACTGGAAAAATGAGTGTCCTAAACGAAAGGAACAGGAGGAGTTAAGTCAATTGATGAACTTTGAAGATTAGGGGAGTCAGGGAACAAATCTGTTTTTGGGTCCAGCTTTCCAGGAACCCCTGATAACTTTGAAAGTTGGACCAGAGAATGAAGACATCGTGTTTTTGGTTGATTCTAGAGCCACCAGATCCACGCTGAACTTCATACCAAAAGGGTTGAAAATTGGACAAGGAAAAAGTAGGGCACAAGGCATAGGTGGGCATATAGTGGAAGCTAGAATTTTTGACCCCACTATAGTTAAGTCCCAAGAAAAAGAGCCTGGGGTATGGTGTGATTTTGTATGGGTTGAAGGGAGCTGCAATTTAAGGGATTTAATTGGTAAATTGGGGATTGTTAATATGGGAAATGAAAGGGAAATAATGGTAAACATTATGGCCTTAAGTGAGGAAGCTCAAAGTGAACCCCTCAGTTTAGGCAAAGGAGGAGAATAGGGAAAGGGTTCAAATTAAACCCTTAAAAGTAACTCTTAAACAACCAGGAGAAGCTGTACATCAGAAACAATATAACATAACTATGGAGGGAAGAAAGGGGTTGAAACCAATGGTCGAAGGACTATTAAAGGATGGTTATTAGAATCCTGCATGTCTCCTTATAACACCCCTATCCTGGCAGTAAAGAAACCTGATGGAAATTTTCGGATGGTGCAGGATTTGAGAAAAATTAATGACATAGTGGTGCCTAGATTTCCTGTGGCTCCCAATCCTTATACCATCCTGGGTAGAATACCTTCCCAGGATAAATGGTATACTGTATTGGATTTAAAGGATGCCTTCTGGTCTTGTCCTTTGGACCCAGGAAGCCTTTGCCTTTGAATGGGAAGATCCAGACACAGGGAGAAAACAACAATTGAGGTGGACAGTGTTATTCCAGGGGTATCCTGAATCACCCAATTTATTTGGACAAGTTCTGGAACAAATTCTGGAGGAATATCAGAAACCTCCACAAGCGACACTTATTCAATATGTCGATGATTTGCTATTGACAGGAGAAAAGAGGAATAAAGTAGAGGAAGCTACAGTAGAGTTACTAAACGTTTTGGCAGAAAAAGGTTTGAGAGTGTCTAGAAATCAAGCCCAATTGGTAGAAAAGGAGGTAAAATATCTAGGACATATTATAGTTGAAGGTAAAAGGAAAATAGATAGCAAAAGGATTGAGGCTATAATCAAGTTGCAATTACCAACAACAAAAAGAGCCTTAAGGGGATTTTTGGGGATGACAGGCTATTGTAGGTTATGGATATCAGAATATGCTAGCAAGACTAAAACGTTATATGAAAAACTTTTGCAAAATCAACCTGAGAGATTAGAATGGACTCCAGCAGAAAGAAAAGATTTTGAGAATTTGAAAGGGGCTTTAGTGGAAGCCCCGGTATTGTCTCTACCCTCACTGAAGAAGCCATTTCATCTGTGAGTGGGGATACATGAGGGACATGCCATTGGAATATTGACTCAGAAATGGGCGGGACAACAAAAGCCAATAGCCTACTTGTCTAAGTATTTAGATTATGTCATCCAAGGATGGCCAAGGTGTATTCAAGCCTGTGCAGCTGTGGCTTTGTTAGTAGAAGAAGCCAGGAAATTGACTTTTTTGGGGGGGCATTGATAGTGACAACTAGCCACCAGGTTAGGGCGTTACTATCAAGCAGAGCTTCAAAATGGAGGACAGACTCAAGGTTGTTGAAATTTGAGACAATTCTTATGGATCAACCTGATCTAATATTAATTGCTGGGGGAGACATCAACTCATCTGATTTTTTTATAGGAGCAAAATGGGCTAAGCAAGAAGTAGAACATGACTGTGCATCAATAGTGGACCTGCAGAATAAAGCTAGGGAAGATGTAGAGGAGGAACCCATAAAAGAAGGGAAAGAGATAGATAGATAGATAGATAGATAGATAGATAGATAGATAGATAGATAGATAGATAGATAGATAGATAGATAGATAGATAGATAGATAGATAGATAGATGGGTCATCAAGGGTGATTGAAGGAAAAAGGTATAGTGGATATGCTGTTATTGAAGGAATAAAAGTAAAAGAAAGTGAGATTTTGCCTTCAAATTGGTCAGCACAAGTGTGTGAGTTATGGGCATTACGGAGGGCATTGGAACTCTATAAAGGACAGACTCTAAATATTGCTTTGGCCTGGTACATACCTTTGGGAGAATATGGAAAGAGAGGGGATTGATAACTAGCAGGGGAAAGGCGCTTATCCATGAAAAACTAGTAGATGTTATGGAAAAGGTAACACATAGGCAAAAATAGCTGGGTCTGAGAAAGGAAGAAGAGAAGCCATAAATATATATATAGCTGTAAAAGGAAATGGCTAGCCAGGAAAGACATGTTGAATTGGAAAACCGGAAAATAAGCTGAATAAGATAAGAGGAAAGGCACACTGAATTGAAAAACAGGAAAAAAACCTATTGTTTTAAAATGGGGCCATAAATATCTACAGAGTTTAAAATAACCATTTAAGTGTCTAATATTTCTTATTATTATTGTATATGTGAATATGATTTAATATGTTATCAGGAAATGTGTATAAGCGGATGGAAAGAGTGTAACCTCATAGTACCTCAACCAATGGGGAAAGAGGAGGGATGTAGCGGCCGGTGATAGGGATGAATAAAAAAAGGAAATATTTTGGGTTAAAACTTTGAAGAGAACCAAGCTTTGAAAGCTTCTCTTCCGCTTATTGCAATAAACAAAAGGCCTTCACTGTGTCTTGGCTGGTTATTGGTCAGGCGAGCTTGCCTCTGGTCACGAAGGAAAGTAGCCAGGAACACATAACAGCTAACAAGCACCATATTTCCTACTGGTGCCCCATCCCTGCTAAGCAATGGAAATTTGGGCTCGAATTGCTGTCACAACCCGAGAACTACCTATATTTCTTTTCCAAACTCAGGAGAGGGCTGGAAGAGTCATTTCCCCCCTTCTGGACAGTTGGCATCCTGGCCAGCTTCATACCTTCAACAGCAGTTTGCTGTGCATAAGAAAATCATGAAAGGTTTTCCTGGCAGAGGAGTTCAAGGCATTGCTGCAGATTGAGATATTTTCTAAGCGCAGCTGAAGAGGGGAATAAGAGGTTGGCAGCCTGGAACTTCAACTCGCCCTCTGCTTGCAGCTCTGACTTTGCCACCCACAGAAAGGGCTGTGCAGGAGAAAGACACTGGGCCCTTCTCAGTCTGGGTTCAGGCCGGGACACATCACCAAAAGGGCATTGGCTGCAACTCTCATGGACTTTTGGAGGCCTCGGGATAGACGGGGTACAACCATTATGTCCTTCCTAGACTTCTCATCAGGTTTCAGTACTGTATCATCGACCATGATATCCTTCTGAGCAGACTTTGGGGACTTCTGTCTCCATGGCTGGTGTAGGATTCGTTGTCTAGTTCAAATAAACAATCACAAGCCAAAAGTTCCAAGAGAAAACGATGGTAATTTATTTGCACTCCTTTGCAAGGGGGCTGCTCCTTCTGCATGCAAACACACAGTGGACACAACCCAAATATTCAATATTTGTTCTTTATATTCCCCCATTGCCATTACAAATTTACCTCTCACCTCTTCTTCATTGGCTTAGTAATCATGCTGTAATCGTGTCGTCACAACCTATCCAGAGCTTCTAAAGTGAATATATTATCTCTGCCCCCGATTACTTCTCCCATTCCCCAAAACACTCAAAGAGCCACTTGGACCCATTTCCCACCAAAACCAAAACACTGGGAGCCGCAAAACCCTTTTGATATCTAAAATGAAGGTAATACTGCATATATCCTTTTTTACCTTTATTATAGGTATATATATATATATATATATATATACATACACACATATCATAAAGGTAAAAAAGGATATATGCATTGTTATCTTCATTTAAGATGGCAAAAGGGTCTCTCTCTCCTCTCCCTCTCTCTTTCTCCCCCCCCTCTCCAATCTTCTGCTCACCTGGCTTCAAGCTGTTCTCCAACAAGCTCAGGGGTAGGCACCCTTGGCTCTTTTATGACTCACAGACTTCAACTCCCAGAATTCCTAAGTCAGCATAGCTGGGCTAGCTAGCTCTCTCCTGCCCTTCCTGCTTCCTGCAGAGACGCACCAAAGGGAGGAGCCCCGTCCAATAAGCTTTTCAGCTCATCGGAAAACACCGTTGAGTCCTCTTTTTTCACACACACACACACACACACACACAAACACACACACGGAGACAGACACAAACACACACACACACACACAGAGAGAGAGAGAGAGAGAGAGAAGGGAAGCACAAGTGCCTCTCTCTGTCTCTGCAAATGGCAGAGGCGGCTGGGAGCCGCACGGGACGGCTCAAAGAGTCACATGCGGCTCCAGAGCCACAGGTTGCCAATCTGTGCCCTAATTCTATCGCCCTTGGCCCTTATTTACGAATTACCTTTTATGGCTGTTAGTTCCTAGAGGTTTTCTCTAAAGTTGCTATCATATCAGTAAATTCTGGTTTAGGACCGGTTTTCAGCGTAGAAGAGACCTTCCTAGATACAATTCTCAAGTTCAAGCTAGGCTCATGAGATTAAAATATATACAATTTATTTGCTTCAGAGGCTAGCATGTCTTCTCATAGTTCTGTGAAAACAATAAGCTCTTTTTTCCACACTGGTTCAGCTCAGTGTGGAGTCGGGCCTCTCGCAATTCAGGAGGCCCCGGGAGAAAAACCTTACACTGCTGCTTTCTAACATCTACATGAAACCACTAAGGGAGACCATCCATCTTATGATACCCCATTATGCACAGGAAGTCCTGGACTTATAACATTTTATTTAGCGACCATTTGAAGTTAAAACAGTGCTAAAAAAAGTGACATGACCATTTTTCACACTTACAACTATTGCAGCATCCCCCTTGTCACGTGATCAAAATTATGACGCTTGGCAATTGACTCAGATTTGTGAGTTTCATTGTCCTGGGGTCATGTGATCTTCTTTGTCGACTGAGGTGATGCACAACTTGGGGAACCTCCTGGACTCATGGCTCCTGCTTGAGAAGATCATAGGTGGGGGAGGGGCTTTGCAGAGATTTATCTGGTGCGCCAACTGTGTCCTTTCCTGGACCAGGGAGGCCTTGCACAGAGCTCAATCATGCCTTGGTCACCTCCAGTTTGGATCACTGCCCTGGACCCCCCCGGAAATTATAACTGGTCCAGAATGCCCCAACACAGAAAGTAACGAGGGCCTCTAGGTTGCCCATATCACATCTTTGTGGTGTGAGCTGCCGCAGGCTTTGTTTCTTTACAGGTGCAATTGAAGATGCTGCTCATCACATTTAAAGCTATTTCTTTATTGTAGCAGTTGCACTTGGAATTAATACACCACCCCACTGTGCTTCATAGCACTCTCGGCTTACAGTGTCAGCATATTCTCCCCAACAATCTGGCTTCTCATTTTACCGATCTCAGAAGGATGGAGGGCTGAGTTAACTTCGAGCTCCCTCAGGATCGAATTCCAGGCTGTGGGCAGAGTCAGCCAGCAATATTGCATTCCCACCACTGAGCCAACAGGGCACCTGTCAGTAATGTTCCACTTTTATTATTTCTGCATCTATCTGTTCTACCAGGTCAGATAGTGTGGGCATGCACCTAGCCCCTTCCCTTAACTATGGCCATCTGATAGGAGCTAGGAAGTGAGCCTTTTCTGCGGCAGACCCTGCCCTAAGAGACACTTTTCCCCCTGAAGTATGGCAGGCCATTATCCTCCTAGTCTTCAGTAAAGCAAGGAAGATCTAATCCTGTGGTTAACGTCTCCAATTTAGCTCTTTGCAAGGAGAAAGATGACCACTTTTGAACAAGAATGGCACAAGAAGGGCCATAATAGGGCCAAGCAGCCTGGTTAATTTGGCATATACATTTTCTTAACAAATAATATATGCATTTATGTGTAGAAATAGCTCAAGACAAACACACTTAATACAGACCCTGCCCTATGAGACACTCTTCCCCCTGAAGTATGGCAGGCCATTATCTGTATTAAGGTTTTATTACTGCAAGCCACCCACTCACCATAAATTGGGTTGGCATATACATTTCCTTAACCAATAATATATTTATTTGTAGAAATAGATAAGGCGGCAAACACACTTGATACAGATGCAAGCTCGCTTTCACTGTCCCAGCACAGCAGTTCCCCTTGACTCTGTGGAAGGGAAGGACCACACTGGGCCAGAGAAAGGAAGCTCAGATCTTTTCCCTCATGTTTGATACTAAAACACATCTGACTAAAAAGAATATGGCAAGAAATTAAAAGTTTAGTTTCTCAGCTGGGCTTCCAATTAGAGAAGAGAAATGAAATTCAACATTCTTCTACACACATCAAATTTTGCCTGTGTGATTTCTTGTGCCTGAAAAAGGCAGTATAATTTGTGAAACATTTTCCACAATCTGGGCATTTGAATGGTTTCTCTCCTGTGTGTAAACTTACATGATTTATAAGGCTAGACCTACTACTGAGATCTTTCCCACAATCCGGACACTCATACGGCTTCTCTCCTGTGTGAGTCCTCTGGTGTATCACCAGCTCAGCATTCCATCTGAAATTTTTCCCACAATCTATACACTCATGCGGTTTTTCTCCCGTATGATTCCTCTGGTGTATTACCAGATAGGAATTCTGACTGAAACATTTCCCACAATCACGACATTTATATGATTTCTCTTCTATGTGAGTAGACTGATGTTTCACCATGTTATATTTCTGAGAGAAACCCTTTCCACAATCTGGGCATTCATATGGTTTCTCTCCTATGTGAGTCCTCTGATGTCTAAACAGGTAGGAATTACAAGTGAAACCTCTTCCACACTCTGGGCACTCATACGGTTTCTCTCCTTTGTGAGTCCTCTGATGATTAACCAGGTGGGAACTCTGACGGAAACTTTTCCCACAATCTGGACACTCAAATGGTTTCTCTCCTGTGTGAGTCCTCTGATGTGTAACCAGGTTGGCATTCCGAATGAAACTTTTCCCACAATCTGGACACTTATATGGTTTCTCTCCTGTGTGAGTCCTCTGATGATTAACCAGGTGAGAATTTCGAATGAAAATTTTCCCACAATCAGGACATTCATATGGGTTTTCTCCTGTGTGTATCCTCTGGTGTCCCACCAGGTAGGAATTCTGACTGAAACGTTTCCCACAATCCAGACACTTGAATGGTTTTTCTCCTGTGTGAGTTCTCTCATGTAAGACCAGATTGGAATTCTCACCAAATCTTTTTCCACAATGCAGACACTCATATGGTTTCTCTCCTGTGTGAGTTTTCTGGTGTCTAACCAGGCAGGAATTAAGCCTGAAACTTTTCCCACAATACAGACATTCATATGGTTTCTCTCCCGTGTGAGTCCCCTGGTGCTTTACCAGGCAGGAATTCCGAATGAAACTTTTCCCACAATCTGGACACTTATATGGTTTCTCTCCTGTGTGAGTCCTCTGATGTCTAACCAGGCTGGAATTTCTAAAGAATTTTTTCCCACAATCAGGACATTCATATGGGTTTTCTCCTGTGTGTATCCTCTGGTGTCCCACCAGGTAGGAATTTTGACTGAAACTTTTCCCACAATCCAAACACTGATATGGTTTATCTCCCGTGTGAGTTCTCCTGTGTATGTCGAGATGGCAATTCTGACTGAAACATTTCCCACAATCCAAACATTGATATGGTTTATCACCCGTGTGAGTCCACTGGTGCTTTACCAGGTTGGAATTCTGACTGAAACTTTTCCCACAAACGGGACATTCAAAGCGTTTCTCCCTAGTGTGAGTTCTCTTGTGTCTCACCAGATTGGTGTGCTTGCTAAATCTTTTGCCACACTGGGAGCACTGGTAGAGCTGCTCCTCCTGCATCGGTCCTTCCATGAATAATGGGAGTGCTGTTCTGAGTAAAGCTTTTGCCACAGTCCAAACATTTGCATGGGTTTTCAAGGAGTGGATGGACTCATGCAAAAATCAGGTGTGATCTGCAATCCGTGTTTTTCCCAAAATAGGCAGTCGGTGGGATTTTTCCAACACTGATATTCTTGGATTCATGAGGTGGTCAAAAATATTTCTGATCCCTTGTCTGATGGTGTTTTGATCCAAGACGCTTTCCTTTCTCAAACACTTTCATTAATGCCTTGGTACTTTTTCATGCAATATTTTCTTGAGTTCCACATAATCTATTTTTTCTACCTGATAACTTTCTACCTGATAACTCCTTTGTCTCCCCCATCTGCTAATGAAAGAGAAAAGTTTTAACACTTTCTGGAGGAAATGGAAAAGATTTTGATTGATGGTTTGTTTTGCATTTTAACGCTGCTTCTCATTCTCTGTTGTCCGGAGTGCTCTTCTTGGCATCCTCTCTGTCTATAAGATTCACATTAATGGATTAGTTTCATTAGTGTTTAATAAATGGCTGCTGAACCTGTGAAAACAGCAAAAAAATCCATCTATCACTATGAAAAAGCAAACATATCAAAATGCTAATTTAACCTCTAAGATTCATTATGATTCATCAGGCACAAAGGAGACTAGCAAAATCAAACTTCAAGTATCCACTCATATTTCAAATCATGGAATTCTCTTCTTGGCTTGGGTAAATTATTATCATTGCAAATAGTTGTTACAAAAATACCT